ACAAAACAAAATTGCCCTAGATATTCTAACAGGAGTGCAAGGTGCAGTCTGTGAGGTTATGAAAACAGAATGCTGTCTGTACATGCCTGACAGCTCTGAATGTGTCTTCGCACTGCAAGAGCTACGTTCACAGACTGGTGCAATGTCAGACTCCACCTGAAGCATTAATGACTGGCTAATATCCAGGTTTTCTGGAACAAACTGATGGAAACAAGTTCTCATTTCTGGCTATCATACTCTGCACTAGAATTCTTTTACATTGTATGATTCATTGTTGTTGTGGGCTAATATCTCACATTCTCTCTCTCTCTCTCTCTCTCTATCTCACATTCTCTCTCTCTCTCTCTCTCTCTCTCTCTCTCTCTCTCTCTCTCTCTCTCAGACAAGGTCTCACTGTGTAGCCCAGGCTGGACTTGAACTCCTCCTGCCTTATCCTCACAAGTGCTGGGATTATAGCATGTGCCACCACTCCCAGCTGCCCCTGTTCTCTCTGTCAGACTGTTGAAGAGTGATATTTTACAAACAGTACAACCTGTATTCCTATGTCTACTTTAGTCTGGAGGAGACTTTTGGTCTAAATTGGCCCCATTAAGAATGTAAGCAGCAGGGCTGGAGATTTAGCTCAGTGGTTCCGGCGCCTGCCTCGAAAGTGCAAGGTCCTGAGTTTGATCCCCAATACCAAAAAAAAAAAAAAAAAAGGAATGTAAGCAGCAGGATGAGAGAATCCAGAGAATATATAAATCATCTATTTTTTAAAAAGATGCCAATGCCTATGGAATGGACAAAGCACACTTCTGGAGGAGGGGTGTGGCTACTTTTTCCCAGGCTTTCCACCCCTCAAGAAAAGTATAAATGTTCCCCGTTCCAAACTATGATGCATCTTATTTCTCTGAGCACCCACACTCCACTCTTGAGTGTGTCCTAAATCTCTAATAAATCTTTCTCGTGTGCCTCTTACTGAAGCATCCTGAAAATTGTTTTTCTGTGATGGAAATCAGTGAACTGCTACAGAGGGATGGGTTAAATTCCTTTTTTCAGCTTCAGGAATCTCTCAGATCCAGCCCAGTCACAATCCCTATTCTACACTGAGCTACAGGAAAGATAACCTTCCACCCCAAATATCAAGGGGGCCATGTCTTTCAGTTTTTAGATGTCCTATCTGATTTTCAGGTCAATGAAATTACCAAAGTAAGCTCAACATGGAGGGCTGCTACCCTCCTCCGATTCTATCAAAATAATCTTATTCAGTTTTCTTTCACAAAACCTATTGGAGGCTTAATATTTAGTCACATGTTGCTCAAGTTCCAAGCACTCCTCTGTATAATAAGGATTCAAGACTAGGGGCAGAGTCAAGATTTGGGCACTTTAAGAATTCCTTTGCAAACAAATCCTAAAAATAAAGCCCTTCCAAGACCATGCCAGTATGCAGGTAACCCAAGCCATATCCTTTAAAAATTTGGCATGGTTCTCATGGAAGCTCTCTCTGGATACACAAAGGTTAGAAAACCAAAGGGTCAGGATGTTGCCGAGGGGGGTCTTCTAATCATGTCTAATCTACTATGAGAGGATTGCTCTCAGCCCATGACCAGTGACTATCTGCTTGTGTCCAGTTACGAAAACTCACTGAATGCATGTTAGTGGATATCAAAAGAAATTTCTTTTTTGGTTTTTCGAGACAGGGTCTCGTTACCTAGTTCAGGCTGGCCTTGAACTCACAATGATCCCCTCCCTCAGCCTCCCAAGTGCTGGAATTACAGGCATGCACCATCACCCCCAGCAAGCAATTTTATACTTTGGAAAAATAGAACTACACAACTCCTCCAGACACTTATGAGTCCTTTCAGTCTTTGACTGGAGCTGATATAGGAGAAATATAACTCTTGACCTATTAGATGTCAAATGTGGCAAGTTCGTGATCCCCACAACATTGAGGAATGAAGTCTTGAACCAAAGGAAAAAGTTAGAATAGTTTTATTGGAAATAAGGACAGATGAATAGGTCCTGGACTTCCAGAAGAGGTCCCTTTCCCCTTTCTTCCCTTTTTGTTTTTTCCAGAAGGGGTGTCCTTCGTCGGGGGCAATTTATACAGCAAAGTCACCATGTGGGTCAAACTACAATCAGGATTACAAGCCGCTTAGTTAATATTGATCCAATAGGAGAGATTTTTTTTTTTGGTACCAGGGATCTAACCCAGGTCCTTCTGCTTTAGAGGCAGGAGGCGGAACCACTGAGCTAAATCCCCACCCCTATTGATCCAATAGGAAAACAAATTACAGAGCAAGGGCACATGGAAAGAACAAAGGCATTTTTGGGGAGGGATGGGTTCAGGTGTTTTAGTTACCCACCTGGGCAACTGATACCTATCTGGACTTACTGAACCAGGTGGTGCTAATTCCAATATAACCTTATTTTATTGTTTATCCCTTAGGGAGGCAGGTAGGCCTGGTCATTGCATCCTTATCTTGAGGCCTGGCCTTCTTCAGGTGCACCTCCAGCTACAATTTTGATCTTTATTTTTGTGCTGACTTCCTTGACAGCCCAGTCCCTCTCTCACTGTACATTAGTTTCTATCTCACTTAGCTGGCTATAACACAAGTTACATTGGCAACGACCTTATCTGTGTGGGAAAATAAAAACAGCTCACCCATATGTTTATTAGTGGAAATAATTTCTGTTTTGAGACACGGGCACTTTTCTTCCTCTGTGGCTCTAATTTCTACTTGTATCTTCCAGCAAACTGGACAGGAACATGCAACCTTGTTTATCTGGCCCCAGATATCAACACAGGATAATAACCAATCCCAGTCAGTTCCTTTAGCCACCCAGACAGGAGCCAAGTGGGCCATAGAACTCACTCCTCTCCTAGTGGGTCTGGGCACAGCAACTGGAATAGGAGGACTAACCACTCCCCTCTCCTACTACCCAAGTTAATCTAAGGACCTGACAGCCTAGGCAAAATTGCCCAGAGCACTGTCAGCCTCCAGAATCAAACAGATTCATTGGCTCAGGTGGATGTACAAAACCATGGGGGAGACCTCCTGACTGCTGAGAAAGGGGTGTTCCATTTGTTTCTAGAAAGTGAGTGTTGTTTCTATGTCAATTAGTCTGGAAGAGTGAGAGATGCAAGGCGAAAGCAAGCTGACTGTGCTTCTATGATCTGCTACTAACTGAGTTGTGGGGACCCTGGTCAAAGATGGAAAACTGGGCATTCTGGTTACTTCATTCGATGAGGCCTTTGTTAATGTTTCTCACAGCCTTACCACTTGGACCATGCATACTTAATCTGTTAGTCAAATTTGTTTCTTCTCATTTAACAGCTATTAAACTACAGATGATGATCCAAGCCAGATGAGGTAGTACTGAAAAAATAAAAACTAAGGAGAAAGGAGACAAGAAAAATCATAATTTTTAAAACGAAAACTGCAGCTTCAGGACACAGACCCAGTTGTTTGTTTGTTTCTCTTCTCCCAGTACATCATGCCTTTTCATATGCAAATGGACCCAGTCATCCCCTTTTTATTTGAGAATGGTCTTTTTTCACCTGTCCATCTTTTCACCTCAAATTAGGCCATCACCTACAACATAAAGATCTTTATGTGTGGCCATCCTCCCCTACCCAATAGACCAAGACCAGGCCAGACCAAGACCATAGATTATCAAATTCCACAGATTCCCACCACCAAAACCACAAATAGTCCCAGTTCCAAACTATAATGCACCTCATTTCCCTGAGCACCTGCACTCCACTCTTGAGTTCAGCCTAAAATCCCTGTCTAATAAACCCTTCCCCTGCCCCTTTCTGAAGCGTCCTGAAAATTCTTTTTCTATGATGGGAGTCAGCAAACCTGCAAACTTATTCTACAAAAGGGTGAGTTAGGTTCCTCCTTTGCGTATTTCTCAGACTCAGCTCAGTGATACCAGGGACCAAAATCCACCTTTGGATCTAGTGCTCATCAACCGATCCTCAGAGGAGGGGTATGGTTCCCTTAGCCCCCAGATAGGGCAAGGTAAGAGTTCCATGGTCTCTGCATAGGGAGAGTCAAAGCCCCTACTCAGCAGAAGGACATCCCCATTCAACATCCCTTAAAGATTTGGGGGGCCAAGTCTCTCAGGAGGAAATAATGCAGATACTACGACTGGGGGCTATGGACCACTCCCCTCCAGCTGAACCTGAGCAATGCCCCACGGCAACTCTCACCTCACACCCTTGTCCTGCACTCTGCCGCAGCAGGCTGTTACTGAAAGCTCTAAACCGTTCGCCATCGCTGTCCTGGCTTATTAAATGGAGACAAAAACAAGAAAAACAGACCTTTGAGCCTATCCTGAAAAATTCCAATATTCCACAAAAAGCATGCATACCGCCCCTCTCCCTCAGCATGACCTGTAGTACCCTTTCTTCACTTAGAGGTCTTTGAAGGTTCATGCGTATGGACTGCATCTCATACATATAGCTGTAACAGTGGTTTACGTACGGGAAGGGACGTGTGAAGTAGAGGCCGGGAGTGACTCTGTGCCTTGTCAATTATGTTGTGTCACTCATGCTCTGGAACATCCCACTGGGAGGTGTCCTAGCACTGGGGCAACATTTTAAAGCCCACACCCTAAACCCTCCTTAGTGCTCTGCCTGCTGACAAGCCGGCGCACTCTGAGCGTATGTTGCCTTTATAAACTTTGATGCTGTTTCCTTACCAGCGCGCACAAGAACATAGGACCCTGTCCTAGACTCCATCACCCACGGTAACTGCCACTTCCTTTCTCCATTTTTTTTTTTTTTTTTTTTTGTTTTTTGTTTTTGCTCAGTAAAGGACTTTGCACTGAGCAACAGCCCCCAGCCCTTTCTACTTTTATTTTGAATTCAGGGTCACATTAAGCTAAGTCGCGAAATAGCGAAGGCTGGGACTGAACTTGTGATCTTCCTGCTTCAGCCTCCAAGAGTGCTGGGATAACAGGCATGTACCGAGGCCAACTAGCTAGTTCATTTTAAAATCTGCTCATCTCTTTCTCACATGAAAATGAGCCAAGCTGGGGCAGCAGCGTCAGCCTGAAGAGCCAAACGCCTGCTGGGCAGTAGGTTCTCCGCCCATTTGTGCAACAGAAGCCTAAATCCCACGGTCAGTGTCGCGAGCACCCATTCTCGCAAGGCCTGAGCAATAGACGGAACTCAAGGAGAGAGGAGCCCGGGAGGCCGCCGTCAGCGACGGGCGGGACAGCAAAGGCGGGGAGAGGTTGCTGGGCGCCCCCGGGAGGAGTCAACTCCACCCCGCAGTCACGAGTCTTGCGCTGGGAGGGGCGTGGAACTACAATCTGCAGGGTGCCGGGCGCGGCGCCACGTGATCCTGCGCCCCCGGGCGGCCGCAGTGGTAGAGAGCGCTCCCGGCCCGCCGAGAGCTCGGGACCGGACGGCCCCGCCGAAGGAGAGGCAGACGCTGGAGAGATCCGCTGAGGAAGAGGAGTACGACAGTCTCCCGGCCTGGGGCAAGTGCCACATACCCCGGATTCCCGGTCTCCAAGGATCCTTGCCTCAAAGTGATCAGTTAGCGTGTGAGCCAAAGGAAAGGGAGTTCAGCGATTAAATCTGATACCCCTGCCCTTTCATTTTACTAGAATTTGGTTGAGTTTCTGCTTTTTGTTGTATTTTTGTCGTTTCATTGTCTTTTTCTTCAAGTCCTGCTTGTGCAAAATTGCATCCCCCCCCTTTTTTTTTTTAGAAACTTTGCCTTTTGAAAAAGAATTTTGATTTAGGTAGCATGAATTCTTTACACTAAGCGTTGTCTGTAGATATATGTATAAGATTTCAAGCGTTCCCCCTCTGGTGTCTCATTAATTATATTCTAAATTCTCAGAAAAACCTTAGACTGGAGAATATTTTAACCATTTGCTTTTTTTTTTCATAGCAATTGGCAGACTTTAATATCCAAGAAAAGTTAAGTCCATCATACACATTAAAAATATAGGAAATTTCATGCAGACATGACGCTTCCAATTCAGCCTTTATGCACCTTTTAGAATGAGAATTAGATATAAATACAGTACACTTCATAATTTTATACTGTGATTTATATGGCTTCTCTATATTATATAGATATATAGATATATATCTCACCTTGCTCACTTGATTAACATACCCTAAATCTGCACCACTTTAGAATATGAACAAACTTTTTTTTTTTGGTACCAGGGATCAAACTGCGCTTTGGAGGCAGGTGGTGGAACCACTGAGCTAAATCCCCAGCCCCTTTAACCATTTGCTCTTGTTGCAAGCAAGCTGTGAAGAATTTCAGAGTGTAGCATTGCCAAGTTTATTGTAATTCTCAGATTTTTAAAATATTGATCATTATAATTGTGATCCCTTGCTACTAGGTTTTAGCAGTTTATAAAACTAGCGAACTTTGTTGATCTAGTATATTACTCTGTGCAGAGATGAATTTTTGAAGCTATTGCTGAGCCCTAGAGGGCTTGCAGTCCAGCAAAAAAGCAAACCTACCCTGCTTGTAAATCTAGTGTGAGGTTTTTAGTCAGGATCGTGCTGTGTAGTTCAGGCTGCTCTTAAACTTGTGGAGATCCTCCTGCCTCAGCCTCTGGAGTGCTGAGATCACAGGCGTGCACCACCATGCCTGGCTTGGTATGAGGTTTTTAGTGGGGGGAGGGGGGCAACTCAGGGTGAAAAAATAATTTTCAGCATGGAGGATCAGAGAATTCTTCAGCTTTTAAGGTGAGTTTTAAAAGTTGGTCAGTGTGATGGTGTATATCTATCTATAATCCCAGAACTCTAGGAGGCTAAAGCAGGATTGGAAGTTCAGTCCAGCCTGAGCAGTTTAGCAACTTAGCAAGACACTGTCTCAAAATTTTTAAAAAAGTTTGGGGATGTAGCTGATTGTGAAGATCATGGGTCCAATTCCGAGTGCTGGAAAAATAGGCTAGACTGAAGGAATTGAAGTGGGAGATGCTCTGGAACAAAGGCAGGCAGGACAGTCCAAGGAGCAGTGAGTTTGGGCTTGTGCCTTGCAGGCCTGAAGAGCTCCTGTAGAGACAGACCATGCAGGTGGCATTTTCTAAACAAGAACAAGATGAGAAATGGCACAGTTACTGGAAGATTCACCTGGCAGCCTCTGTGGGTTGAAGGAGGAGAGGAGGATGGAGATTAGGACCATAATTCCCATATTCTCCTACAGGCCCCATATTTTGAATTTATTTAACAATTCAGAACAGTCTTTAAGTGGCAGTTAATTTGATTTCCTTCCATTAAAGGTATACAGCTGCCAGGCGTGGTGGTGCATGGAGGATCACTGAGTTTGAAGCCAGCTTGGGCTACATAGTGAGTTCAAGGCCAGGCTGAGCTACATAGCGAGATCCTGTCTCAAAACAAAAAAAGACACGTAACTGCCAATATGAGCTTTTGACCATCTTAAGAATATCAATGTTGCTAAGTAGGAAATAAATGCAGCCAGGAGCACAAGAATGTAGAAGAAATGTTCCTTAGCCCAAGCAGGCTAGTACTGTTTGATTAAGGAGACTATTGATGATGATTGGAACTCTCCATACTGTCATCATTTGAACCTTCTTATGCCCTGATGGACCCCTCGGACCTTGGGTTATGACCACTGGTCTAAATAAGAGTTAACAAGGGGGTGGGTGAGGAGCATGGAAGGGGAAGTAAGAATAGCCAGGGAAGGAGAGAACAGAATCAAAATGACTTAGGTTCAGAGTAGACAAGCTGGTGAGGGCTGGGGAGAGGCATCAGCAGAGTGGAGAAGACGGGCTGGTAAGGGGCCTATAACACTTGCTCCCATCCTACACCCACCAGACAAGACTTGGAGTGCAGTGAAGATGTACTTACTGTGTACCTGGCACTGTTGTCAGTCATGTTCCGTGAATTAATTAATTTTTATTTCTCAGCAACCCTATGAAATATGTTTCCTTTTACTACCATTTACAGAAGGGTAACTGAAGCACAGAGGCATTACGTAGCAGGCCCAAGGTCACCCAGCTGATATGTTGCAGCCAGAGTGCAGACTCATGAAGTTTGATTCCAGAGCTGGTTCTCTATAATTCCTCCACAGTAAGAAACAGATAAATTGTTCAGAGGACAAGAAGGCAGATTCACTTTGGGTATCTTGAGTTAAGATGCTTGCAGGAGTACCAGACATCCTTCTGGAGTAGACCAGGCCTCCCAGGCTCATAGGCCAAGTGGCCTGGCCATTGCACTAAAGTTGGTCACATGAGACTCAAGGGTCAGAGTCTTGTCTTATGATTAGTCTTGTCTTCCCTCTGGGCCAGCTGATTGCATTTATCTTTGCAGACTTCCAACGTGAACAGGGAAATGTCAAAGAAAGCCTAATATCCTGTACATTTTGCAAGGCTCTCCTTTATTGTCCTTTGATATAGAGCAGTGGTTTTGAACTTGATTTCAGGATCAAGTCTTGAGGGACACGTCTGTTTGCAAGAAGAAGTATCATGTTGGCTTGCTACAAAAGCAGGGCATATTTTTCAAGGGTTCACCCGAAGGGATAGAGAAAAAGAATATATGGTGTTTGTATTCCAAAAATTTATTCTTCTACATGGGGAGATGAGATTAACAGTTTTATGACAAAAGCAAACAAAATGGGTAGGTTCATAGTTAAGTACTACATGGTGTGAGTCATATTTCAGTATAGTGGGAATTGGGTTTTGCAATGTATCCATATCAGAACTGTAACACATCCTTATTGATCACCTGTAGATATCACTGTATTTGTTATATGCCCACTATCTTTTATATAATTGTCACAAAATGCTGATTATCATTTATTTTCATCTTTGATTGTTAGATACTGCATATATGACTTCAACTTGGATTTGTGCCTTTTTATATCTTATAGCTCAAAAAATAATAATGTGTCTATAATTATGGAGAGGCAGAGCTGCCTGCGGAATCCAGGCTCTTACCCAGTGTGCTGTGTTCCTTCTCATTGCCTTTGCTAAGTCCTCAGCACTGACTGTGGACAGGTCCACTCTGCCTGGTGAAGGGATTAGTACGGGGTTGGCTCTACACAGGGAGCACATGTCTGGGAAGTCATCATCCAGCTACTGTCCCAACATTTCACGCACTCATGTACATAGTCCTCGTTTGTGAATGGAACAGTAGGGTCAAGCAGGGGGCTCAAAGCAGGGAAAGAAAAGACAAATCAAACACTTCCCATCCTCTCTTGGGACTTGCTGAGGTGGAGGAGAGTTGAATATGTGGTTTACATTGGTTTACTAGAATCAGGAAAACTTGGCAAAATTAGAATATGAAAGAATTGTTAGGTAAATCTGATAGGTATATAAATCATGCTGAAATCTTAGGATTTTAAGTACTAGTTGTTGTTTTTTTTGTACAAGGGATCGAACTCGGGTCCTTGCGCTTGCGAGGCAGGCGGTGGAACCACTGAGCTAAATCCCTGGCCCCTAAGTACTAGTTTTAAGTGCTGATTTTAGGTAAGACTCTATCTTAAAAGAATAAAGCTAAGGAGAGAGAAAAATGTCCTTTTTAGCATATTTTAATTTTTCTGGCAAATTTTAAGTAATAATTTTTTATAGTATTTGACTTACTTGAGTTAAGTTGCAGTTCTTTCTTTGATCTGTTGTTATCACTGCTCTGAGGTTTAGGGCTGCCTCACTTATCTTGTAGTTAAAACTGGAGGCCTTCCAGATAGTATTTTCCTAGGTGCACCCCTCCTTGTTCTTAAAGTTTTGTCCCCAATAGAATAAAGCTCTAAAATTTCACAATGTGTGTTTGTGTTTTTGTAAGCATATTTTATGGTTCTAAAGTAAATGGACTTTGCTTGGGAGTTTGGTCATTAATTGACATTTCTTGAAGAGAGGAATGACATTTTATGTTTTCCAGACTTTCTAGCAACCTCAATGGCCTCCGGGAAGAAGAAACTTCAGGGCCTTGTTGCTGCAACCCTCACGCCAATGACTGAGAATGGGTAACTATCACTTCGGGTCACAAAGGGATCTGTTCTCACTCAACTGACAAGGACAGAAGCTCTCAATGATAACATTCTCTAAGGCTCTGCTTATCTGGAGTATTTGTGCCAAATGGCAGCTTTTGTGGCTCACTCTCTTGCACTATCCCTGACTTCTCACTCAGAGAAGGATCCTCTGTATCTGCCTTTCTCCCAGTGTCTATAGTTCCATAAAACAAATTCTTCTGGGCTTTCACATAGCCTTGGTTTTCCCAATAGGGCTAGTAAATTGGATGAGGAGAATCCCATTTTAGCACGATTTGATATCAGGCACTATCCTGGCCCCTCTAGAAAGCCAGACTTCTGCATGATTCAGCCATGCTGAACATGATAAAAATGACTTGACAAAAATGTCATACCCTGCAGAAAGTGGGAGAGTATCCACAAAATGGACCCCTTACGCATGTTTCTAATCTTATTTCAACATTGATTAAATGTTAGGACACAGAGGGGCAGAAAGGAGCAGAGGAAACTGCAGGTGACTGTTGAATAATCATTACCCACGCCTCTGGACTTGCAGATGAATACTGTGACTGTAGCCTTGCTTGTGTGATCAGGTAGTGGTCCTATGTCATAAGTGACCATGTGCTATATATAACTCCTCCTTGGATACTGCCACAAGAAGGGTATTCCTCTGCCTCCTGGATCTAAATGGTTTTGACCTGTCAGTGGCATTAAACTGCCAAAATAGTAAGAATGCTGGATTCTTCAGGCTTCTCATTTCTTCCTGTGTAAATAGTAATAGTTTACCTACATCCTAGAATTATGAACATTAAACATAAGAGTGCTTAGCGCAGGGTCAAAATGCATTTAGGTTGGTAAGTTTGAACTGTTACGGCATTAGACAAGGGGAAGAAGAAGATGAGTTTTTGGGGGTTTTTTTTGGTACCGGGGATCGAAATTGGATCCTTGCGCTTGCAAGGCAGGTGGTGAAATCACAGAGTTAAATCCCCAGCCCAAGATGAGCTATTTAAAATCTTTTAAAAGGATTTTCTTGGGCTGGGGATTTAGCTCAGTGGTGCCACTGCCTGCTTCCCAAGCGCAAGGTCCCGAGTTCGATCCCCAGAACCAAAAAAAAAAAAAAAAAAGGCTTTTCTTTTTCATGTGCTATTGCTGAATTTGTAAATCTTACCTCTTTAAAATAGGCTGGGCATGATGGCACATGGCTGTAGTCCTAGCACTTGAGAGGCTGAAGCAGGATGATCACCGCAAGTTTGAGACCAGCCTGAACTACACTGCGAGACCTTGTCTCAAAAAAAAAAAGAAAAAAAAACTGGGCTGGGGATTTAGCTCAGTGGTTCTGCTGCCTGCCTCAAAAGTGCAAGGATCCGAGTTCAATCCCTGGTACCAAAAAAAACAAGAAAGAAAGAAGACGAAATTTCTTAGACCTTTTAGTAATCTCATTTAAAGTTGGCCACATCACAATTCTTCCATAGGTCATTAGAGTACTAGACTTCTAGTTTCCATGATTCATGAAAAATCACATCCTTACTAGATCTAACTTGCTGAGATGGCATTTAGATTACTCAGCTGGTTAAAAATTGTTTTTCTATTACTTTTCTCTTTCCGCAAGTTCTGAGAAACTGTGAAATCAGCTTTTTCTCAATGCATCGATCAAACAGAGGCATGTGACTTCATGAACAGGCAGGATTTACCCCCTGCCACAGGGCAAGATCCTGTCTGTAAGTTCAGCACACTCTATCTGGTCCATGCCACTTTAACCTTTGAATAAGACCTCTCAGCCTAGAAGTGCCTCCTTAAAACAGCCTTACTTGTTCATCTGGGACACACCGAGAGTGTAAATGCATTCTTCCTCTTTGTTCTGCTGTTTTCCTGGAAACTTAGGCGTCATATATTACAAATAGCACAAAGGGCTCTGCTTTTTTAGATCTTTTTTTGCTTCCCCAAATCCTCTAATCCTGCTGCCTCTATTTCACTGTTTCCTCTTTTTTCAGTTCTCATGTTCTTTTCTAGGAGCATCACTTTCCTGAGGTATGAAATCAAAATAAGAATGTACAATTTGTAGAGGCCTTCTAAGAATTAAACAGTGTATGTCAGTGTGTAGCACATGACAGGTATGTGAGCTATGTTAGCTCCTTTCTCTCTCATCTGCTCCATCAAATATTCCTAGCCAGGTGTGGTGGCACATGTCTGTAATCCCAGCTATTCAGGAGGCTGAGGCAGGACGATTGCAAATTCAAGGCCACCCCAGGCAACTTAATGAGACTCTCTCTCAAAATAGAAATTAAGTTGTAGCTCAGTGCTTCTTTAGGTCAATCCCCAGTACTGAGAAAAACAAAGTTCTTTTATTACAAAGCAGGTGGACACAGGTAGGCATTAGCCTGTTGGACTACAAAAGACCAAACTAATAAGGGACACATAGAATATAATAACTGAAAATACTGCTGGTTGATGTGCCATTGTGCAAGTGTTCCTAACATGACTTGTTAGGAAACCCCAGCCTTCATAATTCCTGAGCACATGGGCTGGGGATTCCACCACCTGCCTCGCAAGTGCGAGGTCCCGAGTTCAATCCCCAGTACCAAAAAAAAAACAACAACATAATTCCTGAGCACAGAGTGTTTTCCTGAATCCTTTTTTCTTGTTAATTCCAAAGAATACTCACTAATGGTTCTGCTTTCTTAATATAAGTTGATGTCTCGGAATAGGGAAGTTGACAGAAAAAAATAGTAGTAAATAAATTTTAGTTAAAGTATCTGGGTCATTGATCTCCAGCTTTACCACCAAGTACCTGTGTTACCCATTAAGAGCTTTCATATTCTGTAAAGAGAGGAATCCAACCACATTGTCTCTAGGACCCATTCTGACTCTGAGAGACTGCAGTCCTCTGGCATTGTCATTAGCTATACTGTATCACCAGATAGTAAGACTGTATAAAGTACATGCAACACAGTCTGTCCTTCACCGTGCATCGCAGAGCACTTACCAGTAAACACATCTCTTGAGGGAGCACTGTGGGGTTTTTTTGTTGTTTTTTTGTTTTTTTGGTACTGGGGATCGAACTCAGGACCTTGCTCATGCAAGGCCGGCGCAGTGCCACTGAACTAAATCCCTGACTAGGGAGCATGGTTAATTCTCCTTTGTTGAAGCCTCACTACTCTGCGTGACCCATGGAGCAGGTACATGAATATCACATGAGAACTTCGCAGGAATATAGGATCTCATGCCTATCACATACTATGAAATCAGAAACTGCATCTTAATAGTGGCCCCAGATGATTCTTTACCACATTGAAGTCTGAAATGAACTGGTCTGAAGATTAACACCCAACCTCTCTGGGATGGCATGGCAAATCCTTCATAATCTGCCTTTCATTTCTATTGCTTCATTTCTGTTTCTGCAATGCCCATTCTTCCCCTCCAAAGGCAATTACCTTTATGCGTTCTGTCTCATCTGCCTTTTTCCAATACTCCATTTCCTCTCTCTATAGGAACATTTCTCTTTACCCATCAAACCACTAAAGGGCTGGAAAGAATTTCTTCCTTCCCCCTCTAGAGGCCTGAGTCTTTAAATCTGCTGAAATAAACTTACAATAGACAGACTACAAGGCTATACAAATACATTTAACATGCACTTGTGAGCAGGAGCCATACAAAATATACAATACAAAGAAGGACCAGGTGGTTGAGACTTAAATATCCTCCTCATAGTTAGGAGGCTGGAAGGGCTCCAGGCATTTCTAGAAGGGAGCAAATGATTTTCAGGAGAAATGAATGGGCCCAAAGGGTAGACAATAGTTTGAAAATGTTTTTTCCTCCCCAGAAGCTAAATGAGACCGAAGAACAGATGGTAGCTGTGACAGTGTCTAGGGTAGTGACATGCCCAGTCTTTCTTCCTGTGATGACAGTTTAATCTTCCCTGGTAAATAAAGTTTAAGGAGGGCCAGGGATTTAGCTCAGTGGTGCCACCACCTGCCTCACAAGCTCAAGGTCCCGATTTGATCCCCAGTACCAAAATAAAAAAGTTTAAGGAGGCATAAGGACAGGAAATGTGTTCCTTCTGGAGTCTAGAGGGGCTTCCCTTAAGGAAGCTTTAGAGAATGCATTCAACCCTGTGCCTGGGGAAGAAGCAGGAAGAGACCAGAAAGAAAGCCCTTGCTTCTGAGACTGTTTCTACCTAAGGGTGTTTTGTTTTGTGAGACAAGGTCTTGCTATGTAATCCAGGCTGGCCTTGAACACACTATATAGCCTAAGCTGGCCTCATATTTGCCGTGGCCTTCCTGCCTCAGCTTCCTGAGTGCTGGGATTATAGTCATGTACCATCATGCTTGGGTGCTTCTAAAACGTTTCAATTACCTTTATGCAAAATGCCAAGCATCCCAAAGTGCCGTACCTTGATCTATGGTTTTGTGACCTCCAACATAATCCTTTAGTAATTCTTCTCCATTTCCCCTAATAAAGTTTAGGGGATCTTTCCCCTGTGATCCCCCAGCACCTATAATTACCTTTTTGCACTGTATCAAAATTATTTATTTATAATAATTATTAAAATAACTTTTTATTATGTGCCTGCCTATTCCAGCAGGCTTTGCGCTGTTTGGCCTTATTCAACAGGTATTTACTGGAGCCTGGCTTATATCTTATTTATATTTATAACCTCAGCATCTAGCAAAGTTACGGTACACTTTTTGTTATTTCCTAAGTAAATATAATATAGAGATGCCATGCTGATAGTCAAGAAAAGGGGGGGGGGTTATGCTGATTGCACAAACCTGTATATCGTTCATCACCCTGGTTATTTTCATTGACATATTTCAGTTTAATCTTGACAACTCAACAGAGCTGTATTTATATTTTTGTAGTTGGAAAAACAGATTTTAAAGGCAAGCACCCTCTCTCCAAGACACATAGCTAGAAAGGAAGATCTTTCTCCACCCATCCCAAATACCCAGCCATCTCTTTCTCCTTACCTTTTCTCTTTCTTTCCTTTCCTTTATTCTTTTCTTCTTCTTTTTTTTTTGGTTTTGTTTTGTTTTTGTCTTTTTGTTTTTTCAGTCCTGAGAATCAAACTCAGGCCTTATACATGCTAGACAAGCACTGAGGTATACCCCCAAGACTTATCTTTTTCTACACTAAAAAAAGAGAGACTTTTGCTTTCCTTCATTGCTTCAGGAAGACATTTTTCCTTTTGGGCAAGAACACAGTTTTAGGGTAGGAAGTCTATTTTAGATTGGGCAAACTCAAGAAAAAAGTTGTGTTTCTCCCTCAACTACATATGGCTTCAACAGGAGAATTTTTACCACTCTGTGTGTGTGTGTGTGTGTCAGAGTTTCACTATGAAGTTCAAGCTGGCCTTGAACTCACTATGTAGCCCAGGCTGGCCTCGAACTCACAGTGATCCTTCTGCCTCAGCCTCCCAAGTGCTGGGATTACAGGCATGTGCCACCATGGCTGGCAATGACTTTTTTCTTTTTCCCAACGTCTCTTTTTAAAATAAACCTTTTACTCCAGTCAGAAAGTGCCTTGCTAGAGTCAGAATTGCATTCATTATTGTCTGGGTGACCAGGCACCCAGAACAGAATATTTTCAGCCTCCGATATGGAGGCTCCCTGCCCAGGAAGTTTTTGAAACATGGTCATTTTGCCAAGAGCACGCACAACTTTCATCTGATTTTGCTTGCTGACAGTTATTATAAAAGGCAAGAAAAAACGAAATGTTCAGTTTTCTGATATGCATGTTCCATCGCGCCAGTTATGTTGGTTCCGTCCCCTCAGTTAAAGGAAGACCTTTCACAAAGTGTCATGCACCAGGAAGGAACAAACAGCAGTGGGGATTTCTCTCTAAAAAGCCATTTCAGAAAAGCTCTCTTATCCTTGTGCCCAGAGAAAAGAGTAATAAAATTCTCTTGCAGTTCCACTTTGACCCACTCTGGGACTCAACTTGTGGTAAAAATAACTTGATAAGAGTTCCTTCCTTTTGTACAGTTTGGTAAACTAAATGCTAAGGGCATTAGCTAAATTATGTTCATCCATAAGGTGAAATATTATGTAGCCAGTATAGGAATACATTATCTAAAAATATGGAGACATGCCCAATTTAGAATGCTGAGTGGAAAAAAACTATAATGTGACTATATTTACATAAGAAATAATATACTGTGAAAAAAAGAAAAAATAATAGAGATCTGAAAGGCCTGAAGTGTCCTGGGGAACACCAAGGCCTCTTAATGGGCAACCACTCTTATTTCCTACCACAAAGAAGTGTAGCTCAGGTGTTGTTAGATACCCTGGCTTTTCCAACAAAGTCACTTTTTTTAGTATAAAAAATTATAACATTATGAAACTCAAACAACACATTTAGAAGTTGCCTCTTTTCAGTCTGTGGTGTCCCTAAGAATATTTAATAGTTCCAAAAAGACTATACAGGCCCGAGGACATTTTCTGGAAAATTCTGCCACTACCTAGAAATTCTACCATTGGTGCCATTCCTATAGGCATTTTATAAGAAGAAATAAACTGCTTTCTGCTTTCTTGCAGGGGGAGATAATTCATCACCCATTAGTACCCCAGTCTGAGGGAAGTTGATGGATGACGCAGCAATTTCCCCAGCAAGGTCTGATGGAATGTGGCAGGGAAAGGAAGAGGGTATAAATAGAAGCCATACTCACTAAAGCCAATAGTGTGAAGTCCACTGAAGAAAGAAAAGGAACCTTGAATTTCACGTATTAGCCAACACTTGCCTGAGGGTGCAGCCAACTTCCTAGGAAGAGAAAACAGGCTAGGGCCAAATACCTGCTCTGAAGAATGCTGGAAGGAAGGATCAGAGGGTGCTGTTCTAGCTATTCTTCCAGACCAAATTCCTTGACATCTTGCCAGCCACCCTGCCTGGCATTTATCAGTCCCTCTTCTGAACCCCCATATACTTAATTTTGACTCAGAGCTATTATATTTTCCTATTTTAATTCATTATCTACATATACACTATATCCTTTACTCAACTACCATAGTAGCAAAATTTCAAAACTTGCAGTGTGATGTAAGCTGCTGGTAAAGGCAGGAATCATTTAAGTGCCTACATCACTACTTTGCACACCCTTCATTCAGCACTTGCTCTGTGACACAGGCTAGGGAAGGGAGGGGTGATGTTATGACATTGTGGTGTGAGCCACATGGAGGGGTTTGTCTCCAGCCTTGTAACTGCAGTAAAGCACACCTTTCTCTGAGTGGCAAGCTCAGGTGCAATAGCTACCTTTTCTCTGAGCACACTGGGGAGGGATTGCCTGTGCTGTCCTTGTTTTTAGTGTCTTTGCTTTTAAAGTCAGCTTGTTTTCTAGCTCCTTATTCCTGTTCTCTTTGACAAATGACCTTTGATGTCTGTTTCCTAAATGCATCAGATTTTTTGTTTTATTTTTGTTTTTTAAAAAATATAATAAATGAGGATGAAAAAAATGTTATTAAGACTAAAATTAAATTAGGATTCTCTGGTCCTACTAACAAAAGTACAAAAGACAGCCAACTAGCACTTGGTGTTCTTGGCAGAGAAACCATGGTTCTGCCACATTAACCCAGACCTCCTGTATAGTTTCTCCTTGTATTTTCTCACTCCATTGCCCGTCCTCTCCACCTGTGCTTTGGATGGGAACAAACCATTTAATATGATGTGTTTGTGACTCGGTTTATAGATTTTTATGAATTTTTTTTTTTTTGGTACCAGGGATTGAACTTGGGAACTTGCACTTTCGAGGCAGGTGCCAGAAATACTGAGCTAAATCCCCAGCCCAGTTTATAGATTTTTAAATCAATATGAATTAAGGAAAAATGCCCCTATCACTTTAAGCATCAGATGCTTTCAAGGTCAGTGTCCCAGACTACAAAGTGCAGGTGGGTCCCAGGGAGGGCGTGTATGGCCATCTGTGGATCTGCATTTTTTTTTTTATCTGCATTTTTAAGGAACTGCATCAGATAGCAATGCTGCTTTCCTCAGACCTCACTTTGAGAAGCAAAGTGGCAGCAAAGCTCTTTTCCAGCTGTTGATCTTCAGTATGAAACTAGCAAGTTCAGATGGGCTCAAGTCTCTATTTGTTATCCCAAATGTTAAGTGCTGAAACTCTTAAATTACTGAGTGAATTTTCCTCTTATAAGCCTAACAAATGATTGTTGCCCATCAAATAGAAAATGTTAAGTTCTTATCTCACCATTGTCCCCAAGCATCACTCTTCCTAAAAAAGAGCAAAAGAGAAGTAGATAAATACTTTTAAAATACTACTTGAGATGCAGTTTAAATGTAAAACCTCTCTTGATAACTAATAGTGTTTTGCTCATTTAAGTGAGGCACACATAGCACAGGTAAGTCTGGTGGAGAAGTCACTAGATTCATAAAAATAGCAAGAAAACTGGAAGCATTATTCAGAGCAGACTAAGAATTTCACAAACTGGCCGAATGGATTTTTAATAACTACTAACAAAATAGAGCAGTTTATAGACCTAGGAATTGTTTGCATATCATCTAAATGACTAAATATGCATTCTTTCTAATTTTTTCCCCCTATCTTTTAGAGAAATCAACTTTTCAGTAATTGGTCAGTATGTGGATTATCTTGTGAAAGAACAGGGAGTGAAGAACATTTTTGGTAAGTTACCTTGAGATTTCTCTGCTTATCCGTAGTAGCTCAGTCTTTATAAGATAGATCTTACCTGGCTATTGACCAGGAAGTCATAGATTCACTGTATCATGGGTTAGGATAGACCCTGGCTAGGCTAACTAAGAGATAAGAACTTGTAGACCCACCTATTTTGTGTCTTTTTTTTTTTTTCTGGTACCGGGGATCGAACTTGGGTCCTTGCCCTTGCGCAGCAGGCAGCGAAACCACTGAGCTAAATCCCTGGCCCAGATCCACCTATTTTGATCTGCAGAGCACCTCATGATCTCATTTGGTGGTATGCCAACTGATACAGAATTGTTTTTATCTCCATTTAGAAATGAAAATTGTGGCTCAGATATACTCTTTTATTAGGTCATGGAAGTGGTAGCGTAACAGCTAAGCCTCTTAAGTAAGAACAAAATCCTCTTAGCCACTTAGGAGAGGGATTTGGTCTGTCTGTGTCTGAGCTTGCAAACTGTGAGAGGAAGAAAGACTAATGCAACACACAAAGGAACCTCAGGTCTAGCATTTATCTCTGCTCATTTCAGAGACAGGGAAAGTTGGGGGAAAAAACAGATCTTGAACAAATTGAGCTGTCTCTTGTATGGCATTCTGGGCTCTCAGCTCCTTGATGGGTTTTCATTTTTTCTTTTTTTTTTTCCAGTATTGAGGAGTGAACCCAGGATCTTCACACTGACCTACAACCCCAGCCTTCCTTTTATTTTTTATTTTGAGACAGAATCTCCCTGAGCAACTAAGTTGCCCAGGTTGGGCTTGAATTTTTGTGTGAAAAAGAGACCCAGGCCTCATGTCAAAACCTGGATCTGATTACAGAGCTACTCCGTGGCTCCCTACAACTCTAGGCCATGGTGGGGGAGACAGATCTGTACTCCTCAGAGGGGTATAGGTTTCCATAGTGAAAAGAAAAGGAGCAGGAACATTCATCCCTATGACTGGAGCGTACTTGTATCTCAAGACCCCAAAGAACAACATTGCTTTCTCCTCTCCCTTGCCTTCCCAGCTACCCCATTCCAGCCCAACGCTCAGTGCTTTGAGATTCCGAGTAGCCCTGCACTTGAGGCCTCAGTGATGTACCCTACTGCCATTGGCATTTTCCTGCCATTAGTTAGAGATGGTTGAATAGAAGAGTAAGAGGAAAGAAGATGAGTTTTGGAATCACATGATTCTGGGTTCCAGTTTAAATTATTTGGTGTTTCAGTCATGATATTTTCTTCTGTAAATAAAAATAATTTTTGCTTTGCTGGGTTGTGAGAATAAGGGAATATGTGAATGCTTGGTACAAAAAGTGCTTGTGCTTTGTGCTGCTTATGAATTATTTTTTAAAATTAGTTATCCTAGAGCACTGACACCATGTAGAGCACTGATAACAAGGTAGTTTTTGATTTATAGTATGCAGAGGAAATCCTACTTATAACCTTCTTGACCTGCCAGTACTGAAGGGGGTTGATTTTCCTGCGATGTGAGACCAGGTGTAGAACTGGATGGTGTATTTGGAGATTGGCCTAAAATGTGAGTAGTTATCTCTGATGGCAAGGCTGGATTTGTAATTATAGATCACAGTTGGCCGTCCCATTCCTCTTGACAAGGTGAAGACAGTAAAAAGACAGCCTGAAGTGAAAATGGACACATGGCATTTTTCCCACCTGTGCAGACTTGGGGCTGGAGGGGCTAAAGGCCTTGGCTGGTCCCACTGACGACTCTTTGTTTGGAACAGTGAATGGCACTACAGGAGAAGGCCTGTCCCTGAGCGTCTCTGAACGTCGCCAGGTCGCAGAGGAGTGGGTGGCGCAAGGGAGAAACAAGTGAGTGGCTCCAACAAAATGAGATACAGTATATTAAGAAAAGCTGTAATGAGTGAGGCTTTTCCCCCGTGACACAGCCTCCCTGCCTGCCCGTCAGAGTGGGCTGGAGGTCAGGTGGAGGGAAGATGAGCAGGGCTCTGGACGTCCCGCCTTCAGTGAACAGGGCCTTCCTTCCTGCCCGTCCCTCCTGTGTGGAAGGGCAGTCAGACTGCCAGGCTCATATGGCTCCATCTGGAAACTGCCTTTCATCCTTCTGCAGGGTTACCTGTCCCTGGGCTGAAGGGGTAGGCAGGGATGGTGGAGGTGACTATGGAGTGCCTGGTTCTTCCGTGTGATAGCTGATGCTCCTTCCCTCCTCAGGGAGGGTGCCTGATGCTTAGAACAGCTATCGCTTTCCTTCAGGTCTTTGCATTCATGTATATATGTGTGTGTGTGTGTATATGTATGTGTGTATATATATGATTTGGCATGTTGTTTAAGGTTCTTCCTCTTGCATACTGGGGGACCTTCTGTATTCTCTAAACTTCTATGTAGTAGCAGATTTTTGTTATAACACCCCATTCATGCTATGGTAAAATAAACGGGACAGTAGGGTTCCATGAGCACATCCAGTTCACCAAGTCTTATTTATTGTCTGTTGCACTGTTATGTGTTGGTACTCAGCAGGGCCCCAGGGACATAAAGCAAGTCTCTGCCCTCAGCCTACTTTGCATCCAATAGGGAGTCAGATCATGAAAACTACCACTCTGACCCTTCTGATAAATGTATAAGTGGGGAGAAGGGAGTGCTTGTAGTTACCTCAGGTGGAGGGAGAAGACTGGAGGTAAATCCCATGTAGGCCTAGAGCACAGGTGCTGGCCTGAAGCCCATGCCTTCCTTAGGGATCCTTACATGGCTTCTGAGCACTTTGTTTTGGGGGGTGTTTTTTTGTACCAGAGATCAAACTCAGGACCTTGCACTTTTGAGGCAGGCGCACACGCCACTGAGCCAAATCCCCAGCCCTTTCTGTTTTCGTTTTTGTTTTTTTTCTGAGTACTTTGAATACTCTGAAATTTAGTGCCAGGTTTGAGTGTATGTCCCATAAGCATTTGCAGAAGTAATCCATCAGCTTTCAGTTGTTCTGCAGTCAGATCTGGGGCCCCAAAAGATTAAAAGCCATGGGCAAAGTGGGAAAAGAAGAAGGCTAAGGATAAACATTAGAAAAACAGTAGGAATGGAAGATAGAGGTGAGAACGGGGACAAAAAGGGCTCAGAAGGGCCGGAGAGGAGAGGAATGAATCCTGTCACTGCAGGCAAGAAGGGATACAGAAAGCATCAGTGTGGCACAGTGACCCAGAGCAGGGATTGTAGAGCCACCCTGTCTTTGTAAAATAAGGGTGATACCAGTGCCTATTTTAGGTGGTTGTGGTCATGAATGGCTGTAATGCCAGCCCTCTGGGAGGCTGAGGCAGGAGAATCAAAAGTTTGAGCCCATCCTGAGCAACTTAGACACTTAGTGAGATCTCATTTCAAAAATAAAAAAGAGAGGGGGTTGTAGTTCAGTGTGAAGGCCCTGGCTTCAATTTCCAGTACCATAAGAAGAAGAAAATAAAAAGCCTGTTTTTATGTGCTTGTGTAAAAACTACAACAGTACCTAACATATAATACAAAGTGCTAGATAAGAACTTCCAACTGTTTGTAGTGGATACTGTGTTTGACATCACATTAGTTAGAATAATTATTAGATGCCATAAAAGTCAGTAGTTGGAAGACTGAGGAGACCAACCACTCCATTTGACACAAGGAAGTCATCCTTGACCTGAGGGAGAGTTACTGCAAAGTTACTGGTAAGTTACTGTGGAGAAGCCAGACTGCATGAGCTGCAGACAGGCAGCAGGGGCCAAGAGGATTACTTAGCCTCACAGACAGCCCTCTTGTGAAGGGAAGGAGAGATGGAGTAGTAGATTAGGAAGGAGCAGGCATCTTTTCAAGTGAGCGAGTCTTGAGCATATTTGTGCACTGAAAGAACTCTGCCTTGGGAGAAGATGTTAAAGATACAGAAAAGAGCGGTGTCTCTATACCTTTGGGGGAAGGTGTCAGAGGTGTGACTGAAAGAAAGAAAAGTAGCTGTAGACATAGCTGAGAAGTGCAGGAGAGTATGGACCCCTTGAGGTGCAGCTGAGTATGGACCCCTTGGGGTGCAGCTGTGCACAGAGTGGAGAGGAGGAAAGGCGAGGGAGCCCATGTGTGAAAACGTCCTTATTTATGGTATCTGAGAAGCCAGGATGTCTGCCCAGTATAATTTATTGGGTGGAATTTTGAGCTTGACTGGAACATTCAAGGCTTGGAGCAGCCACTGTGAGAATGGGAAAGGGAACTAAGAAGTGGCCACATTGGCCAGGAGGCTTGGGAAGCCTCCTCCTGCACAGGAAGTCACTGGGAAGTTTGTGTTGCAGCCCAAGGCAGCCTTCCCTGGTTGTGTCTGGCATGCTGGGAAGAGCAGAGGAGCAAGTGGGTGACAGCTTAGCAGCACCAGGACAAAGAGATTGTGAGCGGTTAAAGGAGGCCGCACAGTAAAGCTGCCGATGACAGTAAAATAGGCCGTCAGCCTTCCTTTCTCCACTCAGAAGTCTTCTGTTGGCCTTTGAAAATGGAAACCTGCTTATGTTGCTTCCCAGCTAGGCCTCATTTACCTAAGACACAGTAAACTAAGAGTCACTGGAGAACCCAGTGCCTGGGCATGAATGGGAATGCGGTGTCTCTGTCGCAGGAGAGCAGTTTGAGGCATGCAGAGCCCCTCAGAAGCCTAGCTGGTATGGCTGGACTTGTGGCTGAGCTCTGTTAGTCTGCTGTTTCAGGACTAAGTGTGGCTACTCCCCCCAGCCACATGGAGCACCTCACAGATGGACACTGAGGACTCGGAGCAAAACATCCTGAGGGAAAAATTCTGAGGAATTAAAAGATAGGAAACAGCTTGTGTGTGTGTGTGTGTGTGTGTGTGTGTGTGTGGTGGTGCTGCTGAGAATTAAACCCAGAGCCTCACATGCTAGGCAAGTGCTATAGCACTGAGCTACGTCGCCAACCCAAGAAACAGCTTTTATAGTGAATCCATCTGTCATATGACTAGTTCCTGGTTCTCCTCTTTGAGGAGCCTATTCTACTAAAAGTATCTCAGCATTTTACCTATTGTCAATGTTCACGACACCATCAAATCCAAGGCTAAAACAATGCTTGATCAATATAAGTACTCAAGTATTGATTAATCAGTTATTAATTTTCAAAATTCTGCTGTTTGGTTGAGCCTTAAATTTTATTCTCTGGACTTTTTTTTTAGTGCTCAAGATTCCTGTTTTTACTATTTTAATAGCTTTTGATGGCTCCATTCTTTTTTGTGTTTTGTTTTATTTGTGGTACTGGGGAGTAAACCCAGGACCTTCACACTGAGCTATATCCCCATCCCTTCTTTCTGAGTTGCTAGGTTCCCCAGGCCAGACTAAAACTCAGGATCCTTGGGATCTTCGGGCCTTTGTTTCCTAGAGTACTTTTTTTTTTTTTTTTTTGTACCAGGGATTGAACTCGGGTCCTTGCGCTTGTGCATCAGGTGGCGAAACCACTGAGCTAAATCCCCGGCCCTATTTCCTAGAGTATTAACAGCAGTTACATTAGTTATGTTTGATGTTGACAGACATTTCCCCTTCCTCTACCCCTCATTGTTGCATTGTTGCATCCTCTTAGTTCAAAGTTACTGCTTTGGGGTGCTGTGTTGCCATGGATGTTGGTAAATACAGCTTTAGATTCCTCTTCCAGCCAACCCAGGGGAACATTCCTGTGGCACAGTGAGGCCTTGCGGAAGGGCCATGAGGAAGAGAAGCTGTGAGATCAGAGCTACTGTCTAGTAAAGTAACAGCTTGTAGTTGCGCTTTCCTTTGCGCATGTGAAGGGAACACAAGGAATTAGCTCCCCTTAGTCCTCAATACACTAAGAGATTGAGGTCAGCCTTCCCTTTTTCCACTCGAGGATTTCTCTTTTCCTTTGTCGTTTAACTCATTTCTTTTGTTGTTGGTGGTGGTGGTGTTTTGTTTTGTTTGTGATACCAGGGACTGAACCGAGGACCTTGTGCCTGCCAGGCAGGCATGGTGCCACTGAGCTACACCCTCGGCCCCGTTTGCCTTGTTTTTTCACTTCTTTTTTTGCCCTTTGGCTTTTTTGAAACAGGGTCTTCACTATATAGTTTAGGCTGGCCTAGAACTCACAGTGATCTTCCTAGTGCTGGGAGCCGGGACTACAGGCGTGCGCCACCTCGCCCATCCTCACTTCTTTTCAATAAGAATCAAAAGACTCTTTTTTTCTTTCCTCCTTGTAAAAACAATAGAAAACATTTCAAAGGGAGAACTGAATGATTCTTGACTTTTTGAGTAAAGATATAGTTAAATTTATGTCACCAACTTAGTCCCAGTGTTGAACTAATTTTTAGTTTTAGTTTTTCAATTTCTTATTTATTTTAGTCTTGAATTTCTTAAGCCTCATTTTTCTTATCTGTAAAATGGCCACCCACGACTATCCTCTCTATCTCGTAGTTTATTGTGCCAATTATGTATAGAAAAGCAACTTGAAAATCTATATTGCCTTGGAGAAGATATAAAAAGCTATTCTGCTCTTGTTAGAACCAGCTCTCAGGCGTGCATTCAGAATCCCTCATGGGCTAGAAGCTGAGCACACGTGCGCCTTTCTGCCTGCCTGGAGAGCCTGTGTTGCTTGTGTCAAGCCCTTCACCCATACTTCTAACTCCTATCCTTTCCTTGACATGAAGTTTTGGATTGAAAGAATTCTGTCTCCAGGTGTTGAGAGAAGTGTGGGTAAATTTGGATAGCAGATTCTGTCCTGATAGAATTGCCTTGCTGTGGTTGTTTTGTATTTTTGTTTGCTTGTTTACAGTGCTGGAGATTGAACCAGGACCTTGTGAATGCAGGCAAGTGCACTGTCACTGAGCTACACTCCCAGTCCTTTTTGCTTTATTTTGAGACGAGGTCTTGTTACTGTGCCCAGGCTGGCTTCAAACTTGTGATCTTCTTGTCTCAGCCTCCCCAATAGCTAGGATTAAAGGCATGTGCCATCATGCCCGTGGTCATTTTAAAAAAATTTTACCATTGTCATTTTTTAAAACTTTTTTATTAAGACATGTTTTCAGTACATAATGCTGCAGTCTTGATGTACAAAAATTCTCTTTCTACTTACACTTGAGTAAGTGGCATAAAATTTACTGCCAGGATACAAAAAAATTAACATTTTCTGAGTTCTTCTGATCAGGTAGTCACAATTAACAGCAGTAGCAAATGAGGTGGGAAGAAAAAGTCAATTTAAAATAACTTGGAGTGATGGCCAGTTTACTCACTAAATGAGGACAGAGTATTTTCATATGCTTTTGCTGATTTTGTCAGCACTAAATTAATAGCTCTCTATCTTTTTGGGGTTTTGGGGGGTTGTTTTTTGTTTTTTGAGACAGGGTCTTGCTAAGTCATTAAATTGCCCAGCTGTGGCTTGAAATGCGATCCTCCTGCCTCAGCCTCCCAAAGTGCTGGGATTATAGGAAAGCACCACCACACCCAGTGGTAATACTTTTACTACTTTTTTGTTTTATTGTGATTTTTGGTGTTATTAAATATTTTTCATTTTTCAAAAAAAGATCACAATAAGATTAATTTATAATGGATCACTGTAGAACGGTCTTGAGATTGAGATTAATGAAGTATTAACTAATGCAAAAACCAACCTAAACATGGACAGTGCGGCCAAAACTTCAAGGAACCTGTCAGTGTTTTTTCTTTTGTAGGTTGGACCAGGTGGTGATCCATGTAGGAGCATTGAGCTTGAAGGAGTCACAAGAACTGGTATGTGTGCAGATCCATCTGGGAGAAGCCATAAAGACCCTCCGCTTTTAGCCGAAATTAGTATTAGCACAATATTTGGCATGAAGTGATGCTCTGCTGGAAGAGGGGAGGTGTGGGGCCTCAGGAAGCCACCAGCTAAGGAGGCAAGGAGCCGTAGAGGCTGGGGTCCCTGGCGACACAACAGTACACCAGGAGACCGAGGGACCTTCCCCCGAAGAAACGAAGGATGAATGTGAGTGTAGCTAAATGTGCAGGCTAAGAGCAGATCTTGAGCCAACTTCAGTTTTCTCTGTGATGTGGAAGGCAAGGCCATCGGCTGGACAAAAAGGAGATGGGAAATAGGGTAATGGATGGAAGAGTGGTGGTAGCCAAATTGCTGTTTTGGAGAATGGGGAGAAATCTAAAACACAGAAGGATTGTCTATTGGTGGTTAAAAACTAACCTACTGTCAGTTATAAATCTGTCATACCACCACTATTTACATAGTGGTGGAAATTTTTCTCGGTACATTCTTCAACTAGAAGATAGGAACAAGAATGCAGACAGGGATTGCTGTAGGTTTAGGGATTAACAAATTAGGGAGAACAGAAGATAAGAGAGGAAGGAGTTAAAGTTGTTGGCAGAAAAGCAGATGATGGTGGTTTTGAGGCCTGAGTGAATTGGAAAAGAAAGCACAAAAATACTTAAAATTGTTTATCATAAGGCCCAGCACTTGAACTACTACAAAGTAACCATGTTTTCAGGACTTAGATATTCTAACTGGAAAAATTACAATAACTTGATCTAGCCCAATATCTTCTTGATGAATTTTCATTATTTATCCTATTATTTGGATTTAGAAGTGAGATGCATAATATATACTTGGAAAATCGCAGTTTGGTGTCCTTAGAAAAACCACAAGGGAAGACATATTTCTATACTGATGAGGCTGGAATCAGAACTTGGAGACTTTATTTCCTCAGCCTTGATTTGCTCTTTTTTTTTTTTTTTTTTTTTGGTACTGGGGATCAAACTCGGGTCCTTGCACTTGCACAGCAGGTGGCAAAACCACTGAGCTAAATCCCTGGCCCTTGATTTGCTCTTTTAACTACAGTAGCATGGTGTAAACAATTTCTCTTTTCAATTGCTTTCTTTTCTGATATGTGATATGTATTTTAAAGTATTGTCATGTCAAGATATGAAAAATCCTGTCATCCACTGGGTTGGCTTAGAGATAATTTTCTGGTGTAGGGATAATCTCCTGGAATTGGGACAAGTCTTCCTGAGGAGGAAATAATACTGGTGTCTGCTTGTCCATAGTTCTCCACTAGATGATGCTTGAATAGGCACTGCTCTCTACCCTCTCTGGGGTATTTTCTTTTCCCTTGCTTTCAGCTAATGTTGTTCTTCTATTCTTTTCCTAAACAGAATACTAAACAAGTGATTTAAATACATCACATTTTGATTCTGTGTTACTGAAAGTATACAGGTATAACTAATGTCCTGATTGGTCTTTGAATTATATCCCAAACTTCAACTTCTCTCTCTCTCTCTTTTTTTTTTTTTTGGTACTGGGGATCAAACTCGGGACCTTGCGCTTGCAAGGCAGGTGGCAGAACCACTGAGCTAAATCCCTGGCCCTTTTTTCTTTTTTAGACAAGGTCTCGCTGTGTAGTTCAGGCTGGCCTTGAACTGGCAGTAATCATCCTGCCTCAGCCTCCCGAGTTCTGGGTTACAGGCTTGTGCCACTATGCCCAGCTCTAATTTACTTCTACAGAAAGTTAATCATATCTATTAGATACAGATATTACAAGTCAAAGTCTCACCAGAAGGCCCCTTTCCCCAGGTGGTGAAGCAGGTTTGGAAGCAGTCAACAAGTATCTGCTGAGGCCCTGTTGTGTGCCCAGCTCTGTGACTGACTTGGACACAAGGGTGAAGATCTGAGCCCCACTCTCAGGGCACTCACACTCTAGTTGGAGGACAGTCACCACATACAGCTGTCCTACAGTGTGATACAGGTTTAGGTGCTCTACTTGAGATAGATTAAAAATATTATGAGTGAGGGCCAGGCATTTAGCTCAGTGGTGCTGCTGCCTGCCTCGCAAGCAACCGCAGGGTCCCAGGTTCGATCCCCAGTACCAAAAAAAAAAATATTATGGGTGCACAGCAAGAGGAAATACTAATTTTTTTCTAAGAGAATCTGAGAAAACATCAGAACCATGGTGCAGTGTATCTGTTGTGATGTGTTTAATCTTTTCTTAGCTTTTCTCAGCCACCTTCCCAACCTGCCACTAGATAAGAAAGGTAATATCATCCAGTAGGCTGAGCAGTAGAAGAGAAATTATACCTGGAAGAATCTCTACTCAATTATAACTTAGGAAGGTTTTTTGCACTGACAGACTCCAAAGAAGTATTAAGATTAAGTGCATGGCTTTTCTCCACTAGGGATCTCTATTTTGCAGCCTGTGATTTTCCTGGCAATGACATCGTCATTAATTAGCCCTATTTTTCCACTCTAGTGGTACTCTGATATCTAAGCTGCAGATGACTATAATAAATCACTTAATATAGTATGTTCTTCTTGTAAAGGCCCAACATGCAGCAGAAATAGGAGCTGATGGCATTGCTGTCATTGCACCTTTCTTTTTCAAGCCATGGAACAAAGGTAAATAGATGGGTCTAAATGTACAGTGCCTCACATTATCTACTTCTTGCTTCCATTCAGAGTGATTATATTTAATACATGAAGTCATACAGGCTGGAAGTTGCAATGTATAGTGGTTCTGTAGAATATTTTTCCCCCTAGATCCATAATAGAGATTGCTTTAATTATTTTGCCAGTAATCTGATTGGATCATCTATTGAGCCCCATTTGGTAGGTGCTATCCAGTCAATTATATACATATCAGAATCACATGCCAAAGCATGGAACTATTTTTCTCAAAAGAGTGGAGTGTACAAGAATAGCATTTTGAAACTACATGTTCTATTGAGAGTTGATGAATAATGATGAAGTTGAAAAGAGATTTAGCAAAACTGTTCTTTGTCTTCCAATACATCAGAACTTTCTCCTCCAATTCCTTCTCCATGGAAACTATTTATGTATCCAAGTATACCAAGACTTTTTAATCTTTATTGATTAGCAATAAAAGAAACATAAAGCTTAAAAGGATAAAAATAGATGTCATTTCTATGCATGATTAAATAAATCTATATCTAAATATATAATAGTTCAAAATCATGATGAAATATCACCTATTGTTAGTTGATACAAAGTTGTTGATGTTGATAAGTAACTTAAATATTGCTAATTTGAGAATTTAGAATGAATATTTTTAAAGTTTTTTCATGTGGTTTTGCACATTTTTATATAAGCAGAATTTCTAAAAGGCAAAATAATGAATTATAGTAATTTTATCTGAAATATTTATCACAAAGTCAGTACAGTATTGAGAAACAGTACATAAAATTCTCTTTCCTACTGTTCATTTGCATCCAGAGTTTAAGCAGTTCTGCTTGATTATTCATCATCTGCAGTAATTTGCTTTTGGAGCTCATCTGGGAGGATGCAGGGAGTCACTCTTCCTCAGTAAAGAGTAGTAGGCTCTGGTCTGTCTGGTCCTCTCCTAGAGGTGAGGAGCACCAAACTGGTTGAATTTTTTTTTTTTTATGTACTGGGGATCAAACTTGGGTCCTTGAGCTTGCGCAATAGGCGGCGAAACCACTGAGCTAAATCCCCGGCCCACTATGGTTGAATTTTTGTAAAACGTGCCATCAGTCTTATAATTTCTTTCTTGAAGCAGATGTTGTTTATACTTTTGTTATAATTTTCTCGGTAACAACTGTATTATTTTGATTCTTTGTGCAGTCTCTGCTACATGTAGCCCTCTACATTAAGAGGACAGGAGTCCTTGGGCGGGGGGTTTAGCTCAGTGGTTCCAGCGCCTGCCTCGCAAGCACAAAGTCCCAAGTTCAATCCCCAGCACCAAATAAATAAATAAATAAATAAGAGGACAGGAGTCCTATCTGTCTAATTTCTGATTTTTATAAAAGCATGAGATGGGGCCAGGGATTTAGCTCAGTGGCACCGCGCCTGCCTCACAAGCACAAGGTCCTGAGTTTGATCTCCAGTACCAAAAAAAAAAAAAAAAAGCACGATGTGATTGTCTCTTACAATATGGAGAAGTTTGCACCAACTTTTTACTCTTTTGGAGGAGTAGGCTGGCTAAGGATTGAATCCAGGCCCTTGGACATGCTGAGTATATGTTCTACCATTGAGCTACACCCCCAGCCTTGATTTTTTTAAAGATAGTTTAGTATGATAGGAAAATAATCATCATATTTTGGCCTTTCCACAGAAAGGAAAATAAAACCTTAAGTGAAATAATTGAAAAGGCGTTGCAGTAGTGATAGCAAGAATGGTGAAGAGTAGTCAAGAATTTTCTGCTTTCAAGGCAAATGGTTGCATTTCATCAGATAATACATTTTTTTTACCAAGGAAAGCCACTGTTTTACACTTGTTCACAACCATGATTTTTCCTCCTGTTCTTTCAGATGTCCTGATTAATTTTCTAAGGGAAGTGGCTGCTGCTGCCCCTACATTGCCATTTTATTATTATCACATTCCTGCTTTGACAGGGGTGAAAAGTAAGTAATGCTTCTCTTGATCTTTCCTCCTGACTCCCCACATCTTATCCTCTTTCACTAAGAAACCCCCATTCCACCCACCCTATCCTATAAGTGCACAACTTGATGAGACAGTTCCAGTTGCTCCAAAATATCCCAGCCCTTACCAGCCATTTATATCACCTTATGGTTGAAGTTCTTAAGTACAAAAGAAGGGTTGACCTCCAGGCACTTAGAGCACACACTCGGTTACTCCATCATGCAGCCCTCTGATTCTTCTCTGAGAAGAATCACAAGCCTGTTGAGGCAGGACAGTGTCTACCTTGTACCTGCTGTATTCTCAGTGCCCAGCCCATTGGAAGGTACTCTGGTCTTTTCTGACTTTTCTTCTAGCTTTTCTTTTAATATTACTATACTTCTCCAGTGAGATGATTTTTTTACAGTTAGGTGAAATATCTTAGGTTTTTTTGTTTGTTTTTGTTTTTGTTTTTTGAGACCCTTGAGACAGTGTCTCACTGTTAGTTTAGGCTGACCTTAAATCACTATATATCCCAGGCCTGCCTGGAACTCACGGCAATCCTCCTGCCTCAGCCTCCCGAGTGCTGGGTTACAGGCATGCACAACCATGCCCAGCTCTTAGATTATTTTTTAAAACCCATTATTTTCTACATTCTATAAAAGAAAAAATGGAGACTGCTTTGTAAATATTCTGAGGAAAAACAAAGTTTTTCATACTCCTTATTCTCACACCATTCAACACAAATCACTTCACATCTGGTCACCAGAATGAAATACTCGTATGTGTTGGGTTTTCTCCCTACCAACAACCATTTCTCCATTGGACACTAACTGGGTGTCCAGTAACTCAGTTCTCTTCTGACACTGTCGAACTCAAAATAGCATCAACCCCACAGGTTAAGGGCTCAGTACCAGGAGACCGTCCCCACTTCAAACACCAGTCTCCAGACCCTCCTTATGATCTGTGCTTCTGACTAATTAGCAGTAAGTCAGTATTCCCACAACCCTCTCCTCAGGTTTGATTAATTTGCTAGAGCAGCTCATAGAACTCAGGGAAACACCTTGCCTATTATTATCCATGCACTACAAAGAATACAGATGAGAGGACCGGGGATTTAGCTCAGTGGTTCCTCCGCCTGCCTTGCAAGGTCAAGGACCCGAGTTCGATGCCCGGTACCAAAAAAAAAAAAAAGAATACACATAAGGAGATACATAGGGAAAGAAACGTGGAAAGGGGTAGGGAGCTTCCTTATCTTCTCTGGGTTTACCACCCTTCAGAAGTCTCCATGTGTTCAGCAACCCAGAAATTCTCTAAACTCTGTCCTTTGGGGTTTTATAAAAGCTTTATTATATAGGCATGACTGATTACATTATTGGCTATTGGTGATCAATTCAACCTTGAGACCCTCTCCTCTCTCCGGATGTTGGGGGTTAGGACTGAATGTTCCAACCCTCTAATCACATGGTTAGTTCCTAACAACCAGCCCCCATCCAGGAGCCCACCAGAAGTCACCTCGTTATATCAAAAGATGCTTCTGTCAGGCTGGGTGTGGTGGCAACACCTGTAATCCCAGCACTTAGCAAGGTGAGGCAGGAGGATCGCCATGAATTCAAGGCTAGCTTGGGCTACATAGTGAGTTTAAGCCGGGCCTGAATTACAAAACGAGACCCCATCTTTAAATAAATAAATAAATAAATAAATAACAATCGAAAAAACCCAAGATGGTTTTGTCACCCAGAACATTCTGAAGGATTTAAAAATTGTCAGGTGTGCCTATTACTTAAGAAATTCCAAAGGTCTTAGGAGCACTGCTTCAGAAACCAGGGTCAAAAACCTAGTATCAAAGTGGTGGTGAACCTACATACAGTCAGTATGTGTACCCCATTAGGCTGTTATCATCGAAGACTCTAAAAGGTTCGCCATCACTGAAATATCAAAACAAAAGATTCTCCTAGCTCCCCCACCTACAAGGATTTTGGGAGCAGTATCGCAGGAAGTGGCAGGAGAAACCAAATATACATTTACCCACTATCACAGTATCCAGCTAGTGTCCTCAAGGAATGGAAATTTTAGGACTGTAATTTAACAGGTACACAGGAACCATTTGGCAGGGGCAAGCGATTATGCCATCTGCTGTCAGTTCTGGCTAACAACAGCCCAAGCATCTCAGTGCTGATGTGGGACCTATGAGATATTATTTGATATTCTCTGCTGCTATGTGGACTAATGGGGCATTTATATTTTGAACAGTTCGTGCTGAGGAGTTGTTGGATGGGATTCAGGATAAGATCCCTACCTTCCAAGGTCTGAAATTCAGTGACACAGACCTCTTAGACTTCGGGCAATGTGTTGATCAGAATCACCAGCGACAGTTTGCTTTGCTCTTTGGGGTGGATGAGGTAAGTCAACCACTGGCATATCCCAGCAGGGCAGTTTCTCTCCAAAGCAATTCATGTAGCATCTCTTCACTTGCTTTTTCATGAAAGTCAATATATTCTGTCTGTTTCTCATTAGCAACTACTGAGTGGTCTGGTGATGGGAGCAACTGGAGCAGTAGGCAGGTAAGCATGGCCCATTTTCCCTAGGATTATAAATTTAAAGTTTCTCATAAAGGCACTCATCACCAGAATAGTTACACTTCTTGCATGTCCATCCTTTCCAATAGAAGTTACCTTGTGTTCCCATACTTGTTTAGTGAAAGGGAATTAAGTAGGGCTTAATTGTGTGTTAGAAACGCAGGCATCTTATGTGAGTACAAGCATCCATTGCAGTTAGATGTGGAACTTGAGCAAAGACATCCACGGTGCATATAACTTAGTAGAATCAGCCTGAGCTCTGTAGACCCTGGTGACCATCGTTGATGTCAGAAACTTGATTACAAATAACATTAGCTGGTCATGGTGGCACATACCTGTAATCCCAGCACTTAGAAGGCTGAGGCAGGAGGATCACTATGAGTTTGCTGCATGTTTGGGGCCAGCCTCAGCTACATAGTGAGATCCTATCTCAAAAAAAAAAAAATTGATTCCAGATAACAGAAATCCATTCAAACTAGATTATGTAAAAGAAAGTAAGTTTTATTTTATTATAAAATATTGGGAAATTAGCTGAGCATGGTGGCACAGTCCTATAATCCCAGCTAATGGGATTGCACACTGAGCCTAGTTTAGACAATTTAGAGACTTAATGAGGTCTTGCCTCAAAACAATAAACAAATTAAAAAAGGGTTGGTGATGTAGGTCAGTGTAAAGGCCCTGGGTTCAATCCCCAGTACCAGAGAAAAAAATCTAAATCAATAACTTCTTTTTCAGTGCTGGGGATTGAACCTAGGGCCATGCCACTCATGCTGTGCCACTTAGCCACATGCCCAGTGCTATTTTAATTTTGAGACAAGCTCTTGCCAAGTTGCCTGGCCTGACTTTGAACTTGTGATTCTCTTGCCTCAGCCTCCCTTATAGCTAGGATTATATGCATGGGCCTTGGCGGTCTTTTTTTGAGCAAAGTAGAAACTAGGCCACTTTCCAGGGATTTGAGAAGATGATTATGTCAAGTCGCTGGTATATGATAAGCACTTAATAAATAGTCCTTAATTTTATTATTATACTATTAGTCACTTAGAAACCTTAAGGCAAGGAATTTAGATAATTTGTTGGGATTTGGCACTTACAGTGCTCCATGCACCTGGTTTCTCAGCACAGTGCTTTTAGGACTCAACTCAGATGCTACAATTTGTCAACAGTTCTCAAACTGCACTTCTGTGTGAGCCCTGGGCCAAGTATTGGCTTCAGTAATAAACCTCCCAGGGCTGGGGATTTAGCTCAGTGGTTCTGCCACCTGCCTCGTAATCGCAAGGTCCTGAGTTCGATTCCTGGTACCAAATCCACCAACTAAATATCTCTCTCTTTTTTGAGGAGTGCGGTACTGGGGATCAAACTCAGGACCTAGCACTAGTGAGGCAGGCACAGCACCACTGAGCTAAATCCCTGGCCCACCTCATCTTTTTTTAAATCTTTTTTTCCATTTTCTTTTTCTTACCCCTTTGGTATTCTCTGCCTTCCTTGTTGCACTGTTTCATGTGACTGGAGATTTATAATTGAAGACAGCCCATGTTAATTACTTTTCTCTCATTGCTGAAACAAAATATCCAATACCCAAAGTTAGAAGGGAAGGGGTTTCTTTGGCTCACAGTTCGTAGAGGTTTCAGTCCACAGTTGGCTGGCTCCAAGGCAGGGATGGCAAACAGACATTGCGAGGACAAACAACATGGCATTCACGAGGTAGCAAAGGCAACAACAGGGTTTGACAGCATCTTCTGCCCCTTTTATTCAGACTACTGGGATTGGGGTGGGGTCAAACTACACTCACATGTAGTGGTTTAGTAATCGCATGCCCTTAACACAGTAGCACACATTCCAGATTCAACTACCTCTGAAAAAGAAAGTCCCAGTCCCACCTCATCAGCATGAGGCTTTGGGGGGACCTCTAAACACAAGCTGTAACACAGCCTGATCCCCTATAGATAGGACCTGAAAATAGAAATATAGAATACATGGGAAATTGTTTTCCTTTTTAAACAACAAAAGTATAAAGATCTTGACCTTTCTCATTGAGTTATTGAACTTGTAATATATATTTGCTCTTGTCTTGCCAGTACTTATAACTACCTGGGAAAAAAGACAAACCAGATGTTGGAAGCCTTTGAACAGAAGGACTTCTCTTCAGCCCTGAACTATCAGGTAAACTTTTTCTTCCCTTTACATAAATCACAGCCTTTTTTCTCCCCTACTTTAAGAGACTTGTCGTCCTTATCTGCATTCCTGCCACATCTGCCCTCATTAAAATGGTCTCACTGCCCCCTTGCTTTACTTTTTTTTTCTGTTTTTTACTTTTTCTGCCTTAAAACTGAATTTATTCCCCATTGTCTGTGTCCCCTATGTGTCTGATCAAGACAGGCCTCACAGGAATGACTCCTGTGACTATAAAATAGCAGTCATAAGTTTCTGGGAAAATGACCACACATGGCCATCACTTTGAGGATGTCACACTTGAGTCATCAGAGAGTATGAGGGAGCTTTGAAGCTGAGAACCTAAAACAAGGAAGGCTTAATCCAAAGTCAGGGCAGATCAATCCTGTCCACCCTGGAAATGTGCTGAGAATGGCAAGCATCACTGGGCAGGAAACAAGAGCCTCATGGGAGATCCAAAGGTAGACTTGGCTTTGAAACAGGAAGAGAAAGGCAGCTGACCTGATGTGTTACAGAGAAGATCCAGAGGCAGTCATGGCTGCTGGGAATGCTACACAGAAAACAGCCTGGCTCTTCAGGGAAAGAAGAGCATCACTGAAGGGTAGAGTCAGTTTCAGTATAGGTAGCTGGAGAGTAACTGGGTGTGATGCACACACCTGGAATCCCAGCACTTGGGAAGCTGAGGCAGAACTGTGACAAATTCAGACTTAGCCTGAACTACGTGAGACCTTGTCTCAAAGAAAACCAAAAAATATCTGGAGAATGTGTGTACTTCAGAGAAATGGAACGAAGAGAAAGGAAATAGGGTAGACAGTAGAGGAAGACCATTGGGGTCTCAGAGGCATGGGGATTTTCAGGAGAGTGTAAGTGCTGGGAAAGTAAGTGGGAATGGAAGGGCATAAACAAAATCAGAGCAAGTGGTAGTTCCTAAGAAAACTCAGATGAGGGGTCTATTTAAATGGGACGGGCCATGATCAAGGGAACCAGAGATGATAGAGTAGAAGTACAAAGGTTCCTGGGAGCTGGAGGGAGTAACCTGTTGCTCTGACTTCCAGACAACCTGAGGAAGCAGAGCCCAGGACGGGAGTGGTTTTCCTACCCTTAGGCCTCAAAGCTGAGCCAGCAGAAATCTGCATCTTCCTTATGTTTAAATATTTCCTTTTGTCCAACCTCAGACCAAATGAAGCTCAGGAGCACGATAGGAGGCTCTGTCACCTAAACTAAACATTAACAAACGTTGTTTTCTTTTTTCCAGTACCAGGGATCAAACTCAAGACTTTGCGCTTGTCAGGCAGGCACAGTGCCAGTGAGCTAATCCCTGGCCCCAAAACTTTGTTTTAAATTAGAAAAACAGCCAGATATTGATGGTGCACACTTACAATTCCAAAACCCTGGGAGGAGGAAACAGGAAGATGGCAATTTCGAGCCCAGCCTGGGAAACTTAGACCTTGTGTCAAAATTTTTAAAAATTTTTAAAAGAGGGCAGAGAATGGGGATATAGCTCAGTGTACCACAAAACAACAACAACAACAACAACAACAAAATTAAGATAACAAGTCTGGATTATATAAGTACTACCTTCTCTTTGCAAACATTATTTTTGTTTTTCTTGGTGGTGGTGGTGGTGGTTTGTTTTTTCCTAAAAGTTGTTTCTGGAAATTCCAACCTGTTCTGAGGTGAAGGACAGGTCAATCACAGATGAGTAAACTGAAGTAGCTGTGATGCTAACCTTCCCCTTAGGTTTCACAGGCTGATTCAGTTTCCATCTTTGTTCTCTTTTGTCTCTACTCAAATCATCTCATTCAGAATAGTGTTGGTAAGGAATTCAGTTTACCACATTCTCTGCCTTCTTACAGAAGGCAAGTGTGACAGGGACTCATTTACTCAGAGGCCAGGGGCTACATTGGCATATGGATAATTTTATGCCAGGGCCATAATTTCAGTAAAGCCAGTTACCACCTTCCAGACCATTCAATCAAGTGCAGGCAGACAGGTAAAAAGTTAGGGCTCTGCTTATCCTCATTCATTCTCATGGATTTGAATGCCATCTATTACATTTACATGACTAAAATGACACATGTACAAACTTATTCCTTACAGTTGTATTTATAACAGCAAAAACCAGAGACAGCCCAAATATCCATCCATAAGGCAATGCTTAAATACATTATCCCCAAGTTATGCCATGAAATTATATAGGTCCCTTAAAAAGAATTAACATCTATATTCTGCTCTGGAAAGACCTATGTGATCTGTTCAATGGAAAAAAGCAGGAAAGTACAGGATAGTAAATGTAATGTGCTATAGATTGTAGGGGGAGAGCATGTATTTGTGTTTATAAGGTTTTGAATATTAAGATTGTGTGTGTGTGTGTGTGTGTGTGTGTGGTACTGGGGATCGAACTCAGGACCTTGTGCTTGCCAGGCAGGCGCAGTGCTATTGAGCTAAATCCCCACCAAGATTATATTTTTTGTTGAATTTTATTTCAAGTAAACAGCTAATGAAAACAGAATAAATATATTACACATTTTGATAAATACTTTTCAACATAAAAGTAAAATGTTATTGAAAATGTATCTCTTAAAGAGATAGCTGGGAGTTCTTTTTACCAATTTGTTCATGAATATATGGATAACTATTACTACCAGGATTATTTAAGGTTCAGCTGTGTTTTTAAAATAAGTGCTTCAAAACCCTGTTCATACAAAATAGTACACGTGAACAGAAGAATTTTTGTTACAGCGATGTCACTCAATTCTTTGAACAATTTCGAGTCATAAGTAAAAATTAAAATGCTTAGTTGTGAATGATTTTCACCTAACAACCTGGAGCACAATGTTGGAAGCAAAGAAGTGAAAACCCTCTGACTTTCAAGAGCACTTGTTATGCACTAGTTAGAGGGAACACTCTACACTGCTTGTCAGTATCAATACTGTGTCCTGGTGTGTGTGGTATAGGGTGGTCCCCTCCCTACCCTGTGCTGGTAATGGAACCCAGAGCCTCAGGAATGCTAGGCAAGCACTGTACCACTGAGCTACACCCACCCCACTTCTCAGCACTAACATTTCAATTAGTTCCTTTATTTGGTGCTCCAGGAATATCCTAAGGGGATAATAAAGGTCTGTCTTTATTTTTTCAAAATCAGGACAGGACTTTAAAAGGAAAAACAGAAAAGGGCAACCTGCATCTCCATGATGTTGATCAGTTTTAGAAAACAGCTCTTCTGGAGGTTGATCTAGAAGTTGATTATCATAAACCTGAGCCTTGGCCAAGTGCCCCTCAGGTATCTTGGAAGGTACCTCAGAAGTATGAGTAGTCCAGTTTGAAAACCACTGCACGAGAAGCTCAGTTTCCCTCTGTGAGCTGAATAGATAAGGGGTGCACTCCCACTTTCCTCACTAGGGCGTCTACCATTGGAGCTTCTTTCTCTGCATGGGCCAGTTTTGTAAAAGCCTGTGTGCATGGAAAAAGCCTACCTAATCCCGGATGGATCTCAACCATCCTTACTTGGCTGACCCACCACACACACACTCAGAAAATGTAGATGTGCAGACTTTAGAGTTTCTGCAATTTGACTTCTAAAGGTCTTAAATTCTTTTCACAGTTCAGCAATATTAACTATAGATTTGTTTGTTCCTTTCTAGTTTTGTATCCAGCGATTTATCAACTTTGTGGTCAAGCTAGGTAAGCACCACATCTCTTCCTGCTCTGTCTGCTGCTGCCAAGTGTAAAGGAAATGGAATTTCATCACTTTCTCTGAGAGTTTAACAAGAACACTTTCTGCTCCTCTGTTGCAAGCAGAGTTTTGTTTCCAATGCTAACCTTCAGGCCCAACCATATAAAATGGTGAAGGAAACCTGCTTGATAGTCTTTTGTCAGTCTTGAACCAATCTCTCTTCCATGTTATGTTGTTCTCCACCATAAACACATCCCATTTGCTATTCTTTTTCTCTTCCTTCCTTCACATGCCTCTGTTCATTAAAATTCTACTGCTGAACTTGGAAGTTGGTAATCTGAATATAGATCTTACTCTGCCAAATGACTGACAGCTCTTCCAAGAGTATCTGAAATTGAAAAAGAGTTCATTAGCGCAAGTAAGCTTAAGTGGAGGGAAATTTAGATAATATAGCAAAGTAAAATTGGGGATATACAGTGAATTTGAGTGGAGAAACTGCTCCAGAATCTTACTTCAGAACAAATGACAATATTCATTCCCCTTCTGCAAGAGATTGGCCCTTGGGCCAGCCAGACCCAGGTCAAGTCCAGCTGAAGTTCAATGTACTCTTAGCAAATGTCTCTCCTCCCACTCAGAGCCTTTCTACTTTGTCCTAGCGACATCTCCCTCTCCAGACATAAATTCCAGATTGCGCCCTCATTCCCACAGGACTCTCTGCTTGCTCCCTTAGTCTTTCCAAAACAATGTTGCCATTTGTTTTTCCACTTTTATCATTTTTGCCATATTTCAGTGCCACCATTGCAGCATGTCCTAAGCATGCTTTTCACAAGATTATGGGTGTGATGTGATAGTTATATGCTTCTAAAGTACATTAAAATAGATACTGAAATACTAAAATCTTAAAAGAACTTAGTTTGCCTTTGTACCACATAAGATCACCTTGCTTACCAGCAGTGATGCTGCAACAGTTTTGTAAAACATGACTCTAAGATAATACCTGAAAGAATTTACTGTTGTCAGATTGCTGGTAGGTGTGGTGGCGGGGAACATTGCTCAGTTTATACTATAACTTAGTTAATTTAATAAAAGAAAGTTGCCAAGCATGGTGGTGCACACCTGTAATCCAATTGTTTTAGAGGCTAAGGCAGGAGGATTGCAAGGTTTGAGGCCAGCCTGGGCAACTTAGTGAGACCCTGTCTCAAAATTTTTAAAAGTGAAAAGTGATGGGGATATAACTAAGTAAGAGAGCTTGCCGTCCATGTGCAAAGCTCTGGGTCAGTCCCCAAAGCAAGGAAGGAAGGAAGTTAGGAAGTTAGTTGTTATTATCTTGAATCCAATAGCAGCTAAGAAAAAAAGTCACAGATACTTTAAAAGATGGGACTTTAGGATTGTGATAGGTAATTTCTACTTATATTTTCTGCATATTAATAATGTACTTGCTAACCCATGAGTGGTGGC